AACACAATAGTAAAGAACTCTTCATGACCTGTATTACTCTTTCTCTCTCAGTGTTTGAATGCTGTTCTGTTGGGGTTCGCTGTATACTACCAGTTCTTGCCAAACCCATGGGTGGTTTTCGTTATTGTTCTCTATGAGGGTCTTTTGGGAGGAGCAGCCTATGTAAATACCTTCTTTTTCATCCGCGAGGAGGTATGTGAACCTCATTCAAGCCATTTGTTCATTTGATTTAGATCAGCGTGTACCAGTCAGTGGTCTCTAATGCATTTTCTTATGCTGTGTTTCTGGACAGACCGCTAAGCGCGAAAGAGAGTTTGCCATGGCTGCAGCAAGCGTAGGGGACAGTCTGGGAATCGCTCTTTCTGCAGCTGCCGCCTTCCCCGTTTACCATTATTTCTGCTCTTTATGAGCAAATGAGAATGTGTGTTTGTGCAAGATAAAGATTAATTTATGTTTTTAAAATATCTAATATATTCCATTTGGCCTAATATGTTCTGATTTAAATGAATAATGGTTTGATTGAGCTGACTGATATTTGACCTACTGACTGTCAGTGATTCCCCTGCCATTATATTAGGGGGGTGGCCCGCCCCCCCCTTGAAGGTCCAGTTAATTTTATTTAATTATATTTTCTCTATAGCGCCAGATCACAACAGAAGTCATTTAAAGTTACCTTTCCTATAGAACAGGTCTATACCTTGTTCTTTTATTAAGGAAACTAAATAGCCCTTATGCTTTTTATCTTATTTACACGACGGCATGTCATTTCGGTCTCTACGTTATGGTCGCGCTCTCTGTATCACGCACAGGCGCGCGCGCACACACACACACAAGTGAGCACACTCCCACTAGTATTTGTAAATATTAAGCCGCAAACCGATTCATATTTAAATAGGAATTCTGCGTGTCTCTGTGTCAATGAATGGCACAGACGCGCGGTTTTGTGTAGTACTCATACTGCAGAGGTGTAAAGAGTACCTAAAAACCATACTTGAGTAAAAGTACAGATACCTTACAGTGTAACTTACTCCACTACACGTTACAAGTCACCAATTCCAAAACAACTTGAGTAAAAGTCTTAGAGTATCTGATTTTAACAGTACTTACGTATTTTACTTATACTAAACATAGGCTCAAAGATGTACTAGTCAAAGAGACATGCCAGTGAAAAACTGTAACATTGTGGAGAAGCTGCGGAAAACAGGCAGAGGCAAGGATCTATGTGCTGGTATTTCATGGAAAAACTAGAACAAACAATAAGCTAAAACCAAAGGGAACAAAGAACAGAATGACTGGCAAACAGACAACCATTACATTCAACAACTCACAAGGAACTAAAGAAAAACTAGGGCTATATAAACACACGGGGCTAACAAGCTTAACAAGATAAGACACACCTGGGGAGACTAATCGAGGGGAACCAATGAACAAACGGACTACAAACTGACTACAAAAACCACGGGAGACAGGAAATTACATAAAAGTCCAGGGCAAGGCACAGAGAGCATAAAACAAAAACAAGAAAGAGTTTATTTGTGAGGAGAGCAATCACGTTCATTTTCTAAAACCAAAATAAAACTGAACACCTCAAAATTACAAAACAAACAAAAACAATATCTTTCAAAAAGGTCTCTTCTGTATAATGGATAAATAAAATAATGTTAGGTAAAATTAAAAAGCCGAAACCTTCTTGCACTGGCTGTGCATCTCTTATATAAAACACCTGTGATTCACAAATACTTGCTAAGGAACTCGCATTCACATAAAGTAGCCTTGTTGAAACGTTTGGGTGAGTAAGGGCAAAACGCACAAGATACAGTACTTTCAGTGACCTGTAATAGGCAATATCATGTCTTTTGTAGCAGAAATAAACTGCTGCAGTAAAAAAACTAGGTCCATGCTATATGTAATGTGTAACTACAACACTCATTTCAAATGTAGTGGAGTAAAGAGTACAGATACTCATTCAAAAATGTAGTGAAGTAAGGAGTAAAAGTTGCTAATATCTTTGATACTCAGTACAACTACAAAGTATCCGAAAAAAGATAATCAAGTACAGTAACTAATTACATTTACTCCAATACTTTACACCTCTGCCGTAGTCGTACTGAAGTGCGCGTGACGCTTCCGGTGATATTAAACCTAGGGGAAACTCTGACCTTGCTCTAATAAAATGTTTATTGACCCATGATTAACCCAAAAGAAGAACAAATTTTGTATACATTTTTCTTTAATTTGTTCATTTTATCTTCTTTGTAACTCAAAATCCTGGAATTATATGTGTAATGTTTCCTGAAACGATTCTCTTTCAGTATTAAAATATTTTTCTTAAGGTTCTTGATTGTGACTTTCATGACCCCTATTGGAAAATTACTAACTAGTGCCTGAAATGTTGCTTCTTCCATTTATAAAGCAGTTTCATTTCTCTTTTTGTGGCTAACGGTGACAGCTGCAGGCCCTCACCCTTGGTTTTGCAATATAACTTGTTTAGCAAGCAGACTCAGCAACAGTGTGTTGCTTTCTAAACATTCATTGCTTTCATTTCCCATTCCCTGCAGGTTTCCCATGAATATACCTTAATTTACAGTTATTTAAGTTCTCCAGATATAGAGGTAGCCTACCTTCTCAATATGGGTAAAGAAGCAGAAGGTGCAAACTGTTTCAATTCAGCTTCATGAACCAATTGAACAATGTAAATGTATTATGGCACTAGATGGTAGAACAGAGTTACAGTTCTGTCTTTAAAAAGCAGGAGGGAGTGAGATAAAATGCAATGTAGGAGCTTGTCTTTAAATAGTCTGGCGTATCCACACCTGCGGACTGACAGCAGATCAGCGGTCCGTGGGAGTGAGACTAGCCTTTAGATGACTGCTGATGGATGTCTGTGCTCAAGGTGTTGGTGTCTGGCTCCCTCATTCAAATCATGCAGCATATCCTCAGCTTTGATTCATTGCATCTGTACAATGACTCCACTTTCTCACAGGGAATAATATAAAGGAAATACAAAGGTAAGTAAATAAATAAAATTAAAAAAATCAACTTAAAGGCACAATATGTAATTTTCGCCGCTAGAGGGCGCATATTCAAAATAAACAAATAGACAAAGGCCTAGTTTGATGACTCCGTGACTGAGTGTGGAATCATGGGAGTTGTCGTCTTCATCCCCACAGCCGATGGATCTTTATGGATTATTATATATTATGAAAGAGTTTTTGATTTGTTTTATTTCGTTAAGTAGTCATTTAAAGCTTTCTATAGATATATTTATCATGTCTGTCAGGCATGTATTCGCTGAGTTTCGGTTCATTTTTGTGAAGCGCTCCTGTTCAAGACGAGACGGCAGAAAGCGCATCATGTTTTTTTTCTCTTTATTTTATAAAAGCACAACGTTTTGTTGATATTGTGAGTGCACACAAATAAAAATAGACCCTTTACAGCTACGAATGATGTATTACTCTTACCTTTATGAGCAAAAATGACGGCGTATTCACTGAAAAAAATGCAAGTGATCTCGCTGGCGCCTCTATGTCCTGCAAAGCGTCTCCACACAATTTGGATATAGCGTACATTTATCTAGGTTTAACGTTTAAACATTGTTATATGCTTGAACTGTTATAGATTTTATTTTAGGCAAGTCCTGATGATTTGAAAAGGCTAAATTGAGTAGGCTCACTGTCTGCCTGGCTGCTTGGTCGTTACTTTAAAAAAAACAAAAACGTATATTTAGCAAACAAAAAATGCTCAAAGTTTTTTTTTAAAAACGAAACGAAATATAATCACTTTGCTATTACATACAAAACTGAACTATTTTAATTGCTGAAACGGTAGTATAAGCCGTTTTGGGAGAAAGGGGAAAAAAGACGGGCTAGGGCGATATTTCTGATAAGCTGTCGGACACGGGCCGGGCTAGGGCCTAAATTTGAGGCCCGTGCAGGGCTCTACATCAAAGCGAAACGAGGCCGCTGAACGAGCGTGACACACGGCTCGAAAGCAGCGGAGCTTTTATTATGCCACAGTCGACCGCTTCTTCAGGTCGTGCGTATGTGGGGGGGAAAAGCAGCTCTGTTTTATCATTCTAGATACATTTGAAAGTTCTTTTATAATGCTACTCTGTGCGGTCGTCACCGGTCTATTAAAATGCACAACATATTAAAGCGTCTTGATGGTGTTTCCATGTTTTCTACAAAACAAAACCGGAAATCGAGGGGTTATGACGTCATTGGCAGGCGACACAATGGCACTATGGACACGGTCCGTGTCACTAGTTAAAATTGCTTATTTCTCTGGATTTAAACATTCTTCAAAACATTTGGGATAATGTAAGTACACAAGTCAGCAAAATATATAACACTGTTCTAGTGGTTTTTGGATATTTTAATAAAAATAAAATCTTACATATTGTGCCTTTAAGTGACTATGTTTCCTAAAACACAAGTATACTTCTAAAACGTGCACTTTTATAATAATGTCTAAAGTTTCAAAAGTTTTACTGTGAAGGCAAAAATTTTTTTTATAAAAATAAAATCTTACATATTGTGCCTTTAAGTGACTATGTTTCCTAAAACACAAGTATACTTCTAAAACGTGCACTTTATAATAATGTCTAAAGTTTCAAAAGTTTTACTGTGAAGGCAAAAAAAAATGTAACCAGATTTCAAAGACAAGTAATTATGAGATTACATCTTACACAAAGATATACTTGAGTCAAAAGCGCACTCTAAAGTTCAGCTAACTGCTTAAGATATAGTAGATTTAAACTCTAATACATTTTCATCAAATTGCAATTAACGTGCAGTTAAGTGTCCGAAAACAATTCTTTTAAAATAAATTATTTCTGTAACTAGTACCCTTTTCAAAAGTATGCTGAAGTGTACTTATTTTTCACAAGTGGTGACTCCTTCGTTCAATTCATTGTTCATTCCAGAAAAAAAAACAGGTCAACAACCATAGATCAGTTTGTAATGTTTTAAAATTAATTTAATGGTGACTTTTATTTTGAAAAGCTGTGTGCCTGGCGGCCATCTTGGGTATTTCTAGAGGATACTAGCACAGTTCACGTTTGAAAGTGATACAGTAAACCACGCGAAGGGATCGATTAAAAGATCAAACTGGTGAGAATTGGCAATATTCTTAGTTTACGAAATCAAACCCACAACACAAATTATCTTACGTTGACATGAATGTAGCTGTATTAATCTTTCCCATTTTTATTGGCAGTTAGCTTAGCAGCAATACAAATGCAATGGGTAAACTTTTTAGCGTAATAATTGTGTTTTTGCATACATTTGGCCATTCACGGGACAGTTTAACCTCGTGTTTTCTGTGAGTCCTCAGTGTGCTGTGGATCTGGAGTTATTAATTCATAGTGTTCTGTCGTGACAGACTGGTTAAGTGCATCAACCAAAGCCGCTTTAACGCTGTTGCAGTTGTGTGTCAGCAGTTAGTCATCCGTGCCTGTCTGCACACACGAGCACATTTCTCATCGAGTCTTGGTTTATTCGTGTGTGTGTGTGTGTAAACATGCCATCTTCCCCTTGTCCTTGCAGGAAGTGTCTGGTGTTAAACTAACCCTAACAGTGTTTCTGTGGTCCTGTTGATAGGAAGGGCTCATCAGTGCCTGGGTGCCCAGGGAGCCACTGCCTGAGTCCCTAGAGGTAGACACCAAACCACAGGACATGAGTGCCGCCAAAGAAGGCCTGGTCATCTTCACGGCCAACTCCAACCCCTCCAGCAGAGAGCTGGGGAGGAGGATAGGCGAGTAAGTTGCCGCTGGAGCTCCAGTATAACATGCCAGTTATATTGGGTAGTTAGGAAAGAGTGGAAAGACATTCATTCTCCAACTGAGCAAATCTGAGCTAGAACAACTGTATTCTTTTGAGTGCTAGGTAACAACAAAGCAAGTAAGTGCAAGTATACTACCATTCAAATTATGTACACTACCATTTTAAATTATGAAGTTTTTAACCCTTTAACTGTCACCCGTCCCCTCTGTGGGACACCTAAGTTTACTTCACTATATTACAATTAAATCCTAATCTAATCATGACAAACTATATATCGTTGGAAAGGTCTATAAGTAGGCCTGTCGCGATAATTAACCGTTTAATCGCGATTATTTGATCTAACCAACCGCGATTATTGTGTCTTTTATACGAGACAAGGGGGAGTCATACACCAAAAGAAACAGAAGAGCACCAGTTTGCTTTCCATGCACTGTATAGCCTATACAGGGCTCCAGACTCATTCTTCCCACTGGTCGCTCTTTTGCAACTAACTTTCTCAGCTGGTGGCAGGAGCACACTTTCTCAGCTGGTCGCAATATTTTTTTATTATTTTTTTTTGCTCTACATGGGATTATTCAGTGCATGCTGATTAACTTTTATCATAGGTTATAGTTATATGGAAATGAAAGTGGTTAACGTTCAACCCATTCTTTATCATCAGTAGTATTATTTGTGATTTAAATTGTGAATGGGAGTTTCTTTCTCTTTTGCTGTGCTAAGCCACGGGCTTCCGATGCTTTCACTTTTGAATTCGCGGTCTTGTTGTCACTGTTTTGCTTACATACATCTACACACCTTTCATTTTTTTAAGACTAAATCAAACGATGGATTCATTGTTATTCTTAATTAAAAAGCTCAACAACAATAAACCAGTAAGAACGAATAAGATGAGGCATGGCACACACCACATGCTGTATTATATACCGACTAATAAATTACAGCACGTTTAGCAAACACTGAGGAATCAAATAAATAAATAAAAGAAAGCCTCCATAGCGTAATGTGAGGTAAAAAGCAAAGATAACAAGCTTTTCAAAAATGAAAACAAAAAGAAAAGTAAAACGGTGACGGTGCTTGCATGTTTTTTCCCCACAAGAATACCAGCAAATTCACCTTCTCTGGTTTAAGAAGCGGTCTTTTACTTGACTTTCACTTGAAAACCATCCATCGTTTCCTCAGTATGTGCGTCATTTTTGCTGCGCGCAGCTTCTAGCTCTGTGCCGATGCGGCGAGTATACTCTCTAAGCGCTGTTTCGTCATGCTTTCAGTTTTCATTCTCCGCTCAGCATTCAAACAGCACGTCACATTCAGTTATGACAGTCAGCATAAAACTCTCTCCAAGATGATATTATTGCCATTATAATAGTTTAAGGAATTATCACAAACAGAAAGATTATTAGAAGCCTTTCTTTTTCTCATGATTTCTATCTTATATTCATGAATGTATTTTGTAAGAATACAAATAGTTAACAGAATAAACATGTTTAAATTGTATAATGTGCACCAAAGATTTTTTTTTCTTCAAGATATTGTTTTTGCTGCTAAATTATACAGTTGGCTAGTTTAATTTCATAGCTTATATATTTTTATTCAAATGTAGTTTTTCTCTGTAATGAGGAAGTGAGTATTTAGTGGAATTGCTTTTAACAAAGGGTTTAAAAGAGTGACCATTAGTTCCACAAACACAGTATTGATATGCTGTAGTGGTGTAGAAAACAAAATAGCGCTGGTGTTGGATCGGTATTGGCCGATTCTTAGAATTTGGAATACTCTATGTAATCTTACACTGCAAAATAATAACTCGAAAAGATTAAAAGATAACATCATAATTATTTACTGAACACTTCAATTAGTCAATTATATAATGAAAGCCATACAAACAGACAATTAATCGTGATAATTGGCATAATCGCCAAAGCCCTAAAACAGACAATTAATTGCAATAACCGTGACTATTTTTAGACAATTAATCGTCAGCCATATGTCATAATCATGACAGCCCTAGGTCTAAGACTCCTAAATAGATATTTTACCAATGTTTTTGTTAAAAATCATGTAGGAAAAGTAATAGATTATTTTTTGACAAGAGTGCACCTCAAAAATCTACATCGTAACAGGAGTTCTGACCTTTGTCAAAAAAAGTCTTCTTCGTTGCCTTTTTCTCTATCACACTTTAGAAATCATCAGAAATTATATATCAGTTGAAAACTTTAAATCTCAAAATTCATCCTTTGAAACCCATTTTAAAATCAAACATTGCATTACCATGAAAATGGTACATCAATATAATGTTACAAAATGTTTTCGTTCATGAATTATAAAAATGTAAGTTTGGATCGTGCACTTTCACGTCTATGTTCAAAAATGTGAGTGACAGTTACGGGGTTAACAGACTTGACTTTCTTGTCATGCAAATCGCCGTGGTTTTAAGGCTGACATGACATAGAAGAACAAAATTAAATTACGATTATTTTAAATTAAAAAATATAATATTAAGTAAAATAATTGGGCTTCATTTTCTTTATGTAAATTACATTTCTTATTTTTGTCTTTAGATTTTGTGGTGAAATATGATTTGGGACAACTGATATTTACGTCTTGTAACTTGTGTGTCAAATATGAAAGATTTCTCTTGTGTATTTTTAACCTGTATATTGCATCATATTGCTTTGAACTTATGTTCTTGTGCAGGCGGTTGGGTGTGGAGCTTGGAAAAGTGCAGGTCTATCAAGAAGCTAACAGAGGTAAAGGCCTGTTTTCTTTTCTACTTTCCATTATAAATATCTGTGTATCTTTTAATCTTCACCAGCGATGGCTGTGACCTCTGCTGTAGCGGTTGTTCATTCTTGGCATGCCATGCTGGAGAGAGCAGACAAAACAGATCGACGATCTGAGCTACTGTTGACTAATTAAACTGACAGTCTTTGTTTTGGGTCATGCTCGTGTATTCTGAAATGGAGATACGCTTGCACTCCCACATGCAGACACTCTGATGGAATTCTCCCAGCATTCCATGCACCGTTACGTCCTTGTGCAAACTTTTAAATAGCCAATCTGTTCTGTAAAGTGAAATGTTTACTGTGGACCAAAGAAACAATGAAAGTAACATTTCTTTTCCCACAGAAACACGGGTCCAAATTGAAGAGTCTGTGCGCAGCAAAGATGTTTTCATCATCCAAACTGTGTCCAAGTAAGCCTTAAAGGGATACTCTATTCCAAAAGGAAAATTCTCTCATCGTTTACTTACCCTCATGCCGTTCCAGATATATTTGACTTTCTTTCTTCAAATGAACACAAATAAAGATTTTTATATAGTGCAGGTGTAAGGGTCCCTCAAAGTTAACGCTTCAAAAACACACAAAGAGAACACGATGCTAACCCATACGTTCAATCATGAACTCATATAACCGCCAAAAGCAACAACTTATAGTTAAAAGTTTGAAATATTAGTATTTTTCTTACGTACACCTATCGTTTCGCAACTGATTCATATGGATTACAGATTTGTTCATTTTGTGTGGTTTAAAGCATCAACTTTGGCCATCCCACTGACTATAGACAGAGCAGCATTTGTCTCTGCAACAGCAACCCTATAGACTTGCATTATATGGGCTCATAGAGATGGATTATTTTTCTAAAAATCTTTCTTTGTGTTCATCTGAAGAAAGTAAGTCATATAGCCTACATTTGGAACGTCACAGGTAATTAATTCCTCTTGTTATGTAAAAGCACTTCAATTTGCAAATAAGACTCAACAATAACAATGTAATTTAGATTTATGTTAACAGCAGAATGATGTTGTTTGTAATAACAGTTTTCTGTAATAAATGAATAATGGCATTCTAAAAATTGTTGTTTTATTGTAAAGTAAAATTGATTAAATGGGAAACTTTGTTTGAGTGACATTGGAGCCATAATCATTATTTTTTGGGGGGGGGTTAATTTTATTTCCAAAATCATCTTTTTTGCTTCTAGAGACCTGCTTTACTTGATAGCTCAAATCCCTAGAAGCCAATATGCAGAATTATGCAAATCAGGCAAATTAACCCTCAGTTTGACATTAATACTGATGTTAAATGCGCAAATCTCCATGTATGCAAATTAGGTTTTAAGTCTTTAAAACTGTTCTTCTTCATCTGCAGGGATGTTAACACCACCATCATGGAGCTGCTCATTATGGTGTATGCTTGCAGGACATCCTGTGCCCGAAACATCATCGGCGTCATTCCCTATTTCCCCTACAGCAAACAGTGCAAAATGAGGAAGAGAGGCTCCATCGTCTCTAAACTACTTGCCTCAATGATGTGTAAAGCAGGTAAATGAGTCCATCCCAGACTTAATCGTCCCTTCATTTTTGGTTTATAAGGATATTGTCCAATTATAGTCCTCCAACTCGTTTGTTTTGTCTGGTGGTTCTGTTCATTGTGGCTTTGAGCAGGTCTGACTCATCTCATTACTATGGATTTGCATCAAAAGGAAATCCAGGGTTTCTTCAACATTCCAGTGGACAATCTCCGGGCCTCACCATTCCTGCTGCAGTACATCCAGGAAGAAGTAGGTCTTTGCATAACGCATGTGTGGATCTAATTTGCATAAGATCTGGATTTCCTGTTGACAGTTTTCTTCCTGTTTGTCTTCTCAAAGCTTTCAGTTTGAATTATAAGGCAGTCTATGCTTCACTTCATGAATGTCACCAATTACGTTTGTTAAAAAATAGAAAGCAGGACAGAAACTAGATTTAACTGACGTTGATATATCTCTGCATAAATTCCTCCACTCAAGATTATGCATTCATTTTTTATTCATGATCATTTTCTTTCTTGCTCTGATGGAAGGCCATCTGCATTAGTTAGTAATGAACTGTGACTGTATGTGAGTGTGTGTTATATAAGTGTATATGCCTACCTCTTATTTAAGATTTTTAAATTGTGTGCATTTTTATTTTTTTTTAAATTAATAAATTTTTTTCTGTATACAGATTCCTGACTACAGAAATGCTGTAATTGTGGCCAAATCTCCAGCATCAGCCAAAAGGTGAAATCAAATCTTACTTTTGCGTGTCATGTCAGTAGGGCTTTCACGATTAATCAAATGTGATTGTCATGCGCATCTCATCAGTAAAGCTGGTTCTGTGATTAGTAGTAAATCTCCAGCACGTACTTTCAGATGGAGCAGCATTTACTACACAGAGCCGTAGTTCACTGACAAGCTACACAAAATCGCGTGATAATGAAATTGTTCTGTGATCATGAAAGCTGTTTGCGTAGCTTGTCAGTGAACTATGGCTCTGTGTAGTAAATGCTGCTCTGTCTGAAAGCACGTGAAAATACCACATTTAATAACATGTTTTTACTCCAAACTCACTTCATAAAGTCAGTCGAGTGTTTGAAATAAATCCTTCGGTGAGATGATGTGGCTTCTTACACAGAATAAGGCACATAACATATTTCATAGTATTCTGAGCAGCGATAAAGGCTATGTCGATTAGCATTGCATTATTATATACTTTATCATAATATAAATTATAAGACGAACTCCGATAAACCATATATTGTCATAGTTGTGTGTTTATTAGTCACGTTGAATCAATGAAAGCTGTTAAATCTTCTGTTTATTCAGCAACCTATAGGGATTTCCTGGGTTTCTTCTGCAGGGTGTATTTGTAGTTTCCGCACGAGAGCGCCCTCTGGCCTTCGGATGGAGATTTACTGCTGATCACAGAACTGTGCTTCACTGAAAGATATGCATGACAATCGCAGCTTCTGCCTAATCACGATTTATCACCTTTACGATTTAATTTCGATTAATTGTGCAGCCCTACATGTCAGTAGTTTAGCTATGTTGACTAAAACAAAAGTAGTAAACAATCCACAGACCTAAGGAATAGATACTTGAAGGAATGATTGACTAGTCAAGTGTCCATTCTGTAGTGAGAATATAATATTAAAATACCTTAGCAACTTGACCTATTATCCCTTCCCACCAAATTCCTCACCGAAATCTCTGTATGCATTGGGTGGCACTGTGTAAACATGATGTTGAGTTGGTGAGAGATGTTGATACTTGATGTTGATGTGAGCTTTTAGATGCTTCCAACTGTCAGTATTTCTGTTCTTACTTGGATGACTAACAAGCTCTTGTACAGTCAGTCATATCGTGCGCAGAGGTCAAGACATTTTCTGTCCCTATTGCCTGTATCATTACCAGTTTTTCCTTTAACTCCATAACTCCTCCTCCTTGTAAGTGTTATATTTTGAAAAAATAACTGCGCTCAAAGAACCAGGATGTTCTGTAATGCTATGTGAGTTCAGTGCCCTAAAATGCTGATGTTCAGAGGATTGAAGTGCTGGGATACTCCACCTCTTGATCAGAAATATTGGCACTTTTATTTAAGATTTGAAGTACCTGATTTAAAAGAAAAGGACCACTGGATGTTAAAATTATGTCTTCAGTTCTTTTAATCGTAGATCTGCTCTATTTGCCTTTTTATTTAAATTTTTTTTTATTATTTAATTAAAGAATTAACAACTCCACTGTGTGGCCAACAATGACAAAATGTTACCATAAATGAAATCTATGCTGTGACATGTCAGTGCCTCATGACTTTGTGTAATTATTGTGCCACTAGTTTCTGTGTGTTTGTGTAGTAATGCTGGGTAGTACTGATGTTTGAATCCATAATTACTTTGTTCAAAGCAAATTAGATGCAAGGTACATTTTTAGACTTCAATATAGCACTTAAAATCTATAAAGCTTAATGTACTTGATTGGATGTTTTTCCCGCTAGATTCTTCTACTAACACTTCAACATGAGTTTATATTTATTTTTTGCCAATAACAGGATTATGGAAGTATCTTTGCCTCATAAATGTGGTCATAGTGGCCAGAGTTTCTAAATATCTTGTTTCTGAGAACTTGACTTGTCAATTACCAAATGAAATGCAGGGTTTTTGTTATGTAACTAATATTTCAGACTTTTGTATTTATTGACCGCACTTGATGACAATGAATAAACGATTTAAAGACTATCTGATATCATATGTGTGCATTGTTTAATTAATGATCCACCCTTTTCTTGGGCCGGCTAAGATTAGATTGACAACCATGTTGTCAGAACTCGATTTTCCAGTTGTTGTACCATGCTAGCCATGCCATTTTAGACTTAATGCACATGCTGTTCACTGGATTTGAGATCTTTGTCATGTTGGAGTAAGTTTACTTCAAACTTCACCAAAATAATTAGCCAACAGAGGGCAGTCAACACTTCACAGAGCTCCCTGTCCACCTCTACAGTAGAGGTGCACAAACTATATAAGTTTAAAGCATTAGCCTTAGAGAAAATCCTCTCCCAAATGCATAAATTATGCTGGTGAATTTGATTGGCAGTTCCCTAATTTAGATTTGCATACTGTTCTCAAAAGGTTTCGTCAAGAGTCGATGAAAATAAAAGAGTGAGGTTTTTAAAGTTTATTAAAAGATATTCCATACAGTTCTATTCATTTCATTAAATGGCACAGATAAGCTGCAGTGAGTTTGAAGATCAAGACTTTTTCTGTTTGCATAATGATTCTATAACCCTGAGGGCAGAAAATACTTCTGACATGGATATGGCAAAGACCTCTTCAGCAAAAAGTTCTGTGATGAAAAGTACCACTCTACAAAGCTTAAGATGTATGACCTACGAAATCTTGCTGCTAAGTTTCACAAGGAAGTAAAAATCCTCTACTATTTCTTCTTTTCCTACAAATACTTCTTATAAAGATATTTTTAACTAAAGCGGGGCAGCAAACAATTGTTCTCTATGTCTGTATTTAGTACATGGCCAGTCTTGTTTCCCACAAATGCTTGCTCAGACCTAACTTTAAAGGGATTGTTCATCCAAAAATGAAAATTCTGCTATTATTTACTCACCCTCATGTTATTACAAACCTGTATGACTTTATACATTCTGTGGAACATAAAATATTAAATAATGAAAAATATCTGATTCCACTGTTAATTTGAACATGATTGTGGGTGAATTATCACTTTAAGGGAATCAAAACTGTATAGTTAGGAAAACGAAATGTAACTGCACGTCACTGTGCATAGTGAAGCGCACATTAAACTGCCTGAAACACATTATGAGCATGAACAATTATAAGTGTTCTTATTTTGGGTGTACGATATGGTGATGCTCTTCTTTATGAAATGACATTTCAAATGGGCCCATTGACACTTGAATTTGCTTGCTGCTGCTGATATGACCATTATTTGCCTGCTCTGAAAGCATAAAACTTACACAGACATTACTGGAAGGACATTTAGATCACTAATCTAACCTCCATGTAAATCACCCAGCACTTCCTAGATCTTTGAGTGAGTGAAGTGGCCAAGTATGGTGACCCATACTCGGAATTTGTGCTCTGCATTTAACCCATCCAAGTGCACACACACACCGTGAACACACACCCGGAGCAGTGGGCAGCCATATTGCTGTGGTGCCCGGGGAACAGTTGGGGGTTTGGTGCCTTGCTGAAGGGTCTCACCTCAGTCGTGGTATTGAGGGTGGAAGAGAGCGCTGATTATTCACTCACCCCACCGACAATTCCTGCCGGACCTGAGACTTGACCCCGCAACCTTCGGGTAACAAGTCCGACTGCCCCACAGTCGTGGTCTGTAACACTACAGTCTGCCTAAAGAGAGACGAGCTGTCAAAAGAAGCAAATTAGTGAGAAAATAATTTTAAGACTGCCTGAAATTAAAGTTAAAATCAGTCAGTGTCAGTCTAAACTATTATTCACTTCTTCTGTTGAATGTTCATTTGTTTACAACAAGAAGGTCTATATTACCTGGAGAAAGCTATCTGTTAGAATTAGCATCCTATTCATCTCAAGAATAGTTGCGTGTTTAGTTCAGAGGCCAGTTAGATAAAACGCTTAGACTAGTCTTACAAGTTTGTCATTTAATTTTTTTTCTTTAAGATTTGTCATTTTATTTTATAAGTTGGTTACATAAAACTTAAATCGGTCTAATATGAACCCGAAAAATAAAACTCATTACCCTACACTAGTCACACTAGTTCTTAACACAGAGTCTAATTTATGCAGCTGGCCCCAGAACACCATCAGAAATAGGTACAGTATGTGACTGGAATTCTACCATCTTTACAGATCTGGACACAACTCTTTCACTTGACCCGTGAATGATATGTGATTAATTCTGGAATCACAAAGATGATTAGCTGAAGACACCACAAGATCACTCACAGTCCCAAGCCACTTAAAAATAACTTAAAAAGTAGCCAGACTGAGTGCGGGTTTGGTGTGTGATTAGGTTCAATTCTGTTTGAAGTTGTTCCGATAAGTAGCAACAATGGTAAAACATCTTTATATAATAAAAAAGGAGAATAAATTCCAGCTGTAATCAAGTGAAGTATGGAAGGTCTATTTGAATAATTCAATAAATGTAATTTTACAAGCATACAGTCTAGTCTTTGAGTGTCTGACCTTCATCTAAATGAGTGGACAGCACCCATGTCCAGTGTTTTCTTTAGTATACCATTTAGCCTAAGTCAACCCATAAAAGAATCAGGAAATAATGTGTTATGCAAATGGTGAACTGTGACGATTTAATGAGACCCATAATTGATCATTTACATCAAGCTGAATGGAAAAAATAATTATTTACATATTAATAGCTTTAAGGACAATCATAAAGCTTTATCGAAAAGTCTGTGCCTGCAATTTACATAAACATTAAATTTAGAAAAACCTATTTGTATTGGGAATCCTATGTTAACTTTCTGCTGGCTAATTGGAAGAAATAAAGCATAGTTTTATGTGAGATCAACTCACATAGTTCAATAAGAGTCCAATAAAAATATTAAATACTAAAATAACCCAGTGGCATTCAGTATACAACAGTTTGTTGCATTGTACTATTTGCTTGGCAGAGACCCTTTAATCACCTGCTTCTTTACTTGTGCTGGACAGGAAATCCCAGAAGAACAACAACTGTACTTTGTTAGGGACGTAGAACGTTTCCTGGAAACGTTTGGCTGGTCTGACTGCCCGATCTTAGG